TGCTCTGGCTTTGATCTTGCTCCTCAACTCCTCAGGACACAGTCTGCCCTGTTCCCTGAGTCTGTCTCTATTAGTCTGTCTCAAAACAACCCTCACCATCCCACACCACACGTCACCCACTCCCCACCCACACCCCACATCCTTCCTCCCCTTCAACCTGTACCTACCAGCTGTGTGACCTTGAGCAAATTACTTACCCTTTCTGTGCTCCAGTTTCTCTATTATAACATGGGGATAATCCTAGTGCTTACATATCGGGTTGTTGTAAAGATGAAATGAGGTGACTGTAGGTAAACACCTTTGAACAAATTAACTCATGGTAAACACTTAATGAACGTTAGCACATTCATTGCCCAGTATAACCCCTCCCCTAATAAAAGTGTTCTGTGTCTTTCTTTCTGTTTATCCTCACAGTGCTTTGTTTAGGATAGGGCCTCAAAAAAACTTGACAAATTTAACTGCACTGAAGAGTTGGGTCTTCCCAGCAGCCTTTACTTTGGAAGTGACCCCAACTGCGACCAGTCCCTGGTTGGCTCTCCTTATGAGGGTGATATTTAAATTCGTAAGGGGTAGGGGAAGGCAGGAGAGGATAAAGGGGGGATAAATGGTGACAGAAAGAGACATGACTTGGGATGGGGAGCACACAGTACAACATACAAATGATGTATTATTGAATGGTATGCCTGAAACCTATATAATTTTATTAACCAATGTAACCCCAATGCATTCAATAAAAAATATAAAAAATTCTTAGGAACTTCTAACTAGGCTAGCCAGTGTGAGCCATATAAAATTGCTGAACAATTCCTCACCTACATAAATGGCAATTACATATGGTTTCACCTAATACTAGCATCCAACTTACCAGGTTTTTTCCACTCACTTGTTCTAGACGGGGACCACTTCCATTCTAGGGTAGAGGGGAGGTGAAGGTCAGGGCCAAGGAATTTATTTCGGTTATAACAGACATTAAAATGTTGAGGAATCAATTTCTCCAAAACAAATAAAGACCAAGCTGTAAGCCATTTAGCTGTAAATAATTTACAGTAACAATCAGATTGCATCAAGGTAATTACTACACTTTGGGCAGGACACTGGAGCGGCTTGGGGGTGGGTGGCATAAAATTAGTCTGAGCAGGAATTCTGTGGCTTTGGCTGGTCAAGAAGTTTCCTCCTAACCTCTCCTGCTATGTGACACCAAGCACCTTTGAAGGACATGCTGACCTGGTGGGGGCCTTGAGCGTTTCCAAACCAGTTTTATGTCTGCATTCCCAAGAAGCAGACTGAACAGCAATGAGGTTTCCAGACAGAGTCTCCAAAACTGGTCTCTTGGTCTTGTTCTACCTAGATTAGCACTAACAGAACTTTTTTTGCTGATGGAAAGTCTGCATATCTGTGCTGTGCTTCCATTATGGTAGCCACTAGCCACATTTGGGGATTGAGCACTTGAAATGTAGTTTATCTGACCAAGAAGCTGAACTTTTAATTTAATTGTTTAAACATTTAAATAGTCACCAGTGGCGGCCATGTGGGACTGAACGGATGGATCCTCTCTCCTCTTATGCTGTTGTGAGAGGGAGTGTGGGCAATGGGTTTTCTTCCTTGGAGACCCTTATGTTCATCTCCATAACCCCAGCTCACCCCCCAAACTCTAATACAACTGTAAGAATTCCTGCTGAAATTCTTTTTATCATTGGGCTCTCTGCTTCTTAATCAAGGGACAATTTGAAGTGCTACATATTCTAGCAACCTCTAGATTTGCTTATATGGTGTTTAATTTTTTTTTTTCCTGATAACCACTTCCATGTCTTGCTGAGTAATACCAGTATCTTTGTCAGAAATCAAGGTCAGATTTCAATGTCTATTTGTTCAAGAGTTTTGTTTTCAATATATTTTGATTGATTTCAGAGAGAGGAAGGGAGGAGAGATAGAAACATCAGTGGTGAGATAATCATTGATTGCCTACTGCATTGTCCGCCCCCACCCCACCCGATATTGAGCCCACAACTCGGGCATGTGCCCTGACCACAAATCTAACCGTGACTCTGGGTTCATAGGTCAACGCTCAACCACTGTACCACACAGGCCAGGCTGTTCAAAGTTTTGGAGGGAATTAAAGGTAGTTATGGAAAGATGCTTCAGATTTTTAAATAAGTTTGTTACCATATATTAGAAAAACCATTTTCTATGTATCTATTTGCATAGAAAGCAGCTAATTAGATAATTAGAGTGTTTGGGAAGCTGTAGATGGCAGGCCCTGGGTAAGGGACAATGCGAGATGGAAATAAAGCATCTCTGAATGAGAAGAGAGCACGATAGGAAAAAGGGGAGTATTTGTTCGCTAGGGCTGACACAACAAAGAAGTCCACGAGCAAGGTGTCTGCAGGGTTGGTTTCTCCTGAGGCCTCCCTCCTGTGTCCTCACGTGGTTTTCCTCTGCTTGCACATGCCTGTGTCTCTCCTCTTCTTATAAGGACCCCAGTCATACTGGATTAGGGCCCACACATATGGCCCCATTTCATGTTAGAAAGACCTTTTTAAAGGTTTTATTTCCAGATGCATTCATTACTGGGGGATTAGGACTTCAACATCTGAATTTGGGGGAGGGGGGAGCCACAATTTAGTCCATAACAAGGAGTTAGCTTTGCTGCATGACGTCTAGACTGGAACATCTATAATCCTTTCACAGTACTCACTACTAATTTACTCAGACTGTCTTCTGCCTTTTTTCCCCAGAAGCAAGCAGTGGCAACAACTCAACCTTGACCAACCACCACCCAGATCCTGAGACTCTGGAACAGTGCCACAGTAAGCGTCTGCCAACTGCCCCGACCAGAGCTGGCCCTGGGTCTGGGAGGGAAACATAAGCTTCCTGGCTTCTGTTCATTGGTGTGGGGTGGCTGGGTGTCGGCCTGGCCTCGCTGGGTGCTGATGTGGTTTGTTCACAGCCTCCAGAACTGTTTGCAGAGTCCATCCAAAAGCTATCTTGGCCTTGACCCCCATCGAAGCTCACAACCTTTGGTACAGATAGCTTTAATGACCCATCCCCACGACAGGAGCCAAAGATGCCCTGAGTTCAAAGACGTGTAGATATTTGCCAGTGGAAAGACCACAAAACTCGGCTAGTCGTACATCTGCCCAAGGCAGGAGCTTCATTTTCATACCCTTTGCATATTTCTGTTCTTCTCTACTTGAATACCTCCAGCCACAAGGAGGGCAGTACTTCATAAAGCAACCACTACTGCAGATGTCTAATTAACAAAGTCTTGCAATATATTCTAAGTCTGGCTTCCTTTAATCTGCCCTCATTGAATGACCAAATATGTTTGTTCACTTCTGGACACTTACAGAGAAGAATAATAGGCAAGAATGTGTAGAGGTTAAGAACACAGCTTTGGAGTCCTGCAGACTTGGGTTTGAGTTCTAGTTCTGCCAACCCATGACCTTGGGCAAGTTACAGCCTGAGAGTCTTCATGTAAAATGGGACTAACAACCACACCTATCACTTTACGAGGAATAAATAAGGTAACATGTGTAGAACATTTAGCATAGCACGTGGCATATTTTCATGAAGGTTAACTATTGTATTATTACTGCCTTGTTGTTACGACTATTAGAGATGGGGCGGGCTGGTGTGATGCTCTCTCTTCCCCCAGACGTGGACTTCTGCCAACAAGCATCCCAGTGCTGCCACGCCGGGAGTGGATGAGTACGGCTGGATCGCGGCCGCTGTTGGCTGGAGTCTCTGGTTTCTCACCCTCATCCTGCTCTGTGTGGATAAACTGACGAAGTTAACTCCAGATGAGCCCAAGGACTTGCAAGCATGAGACGCAGAATCAGAGCCCCAAGAATGTCAGCCCCCACCCAGTTGTGGCTAATAGCGGGCACGGAGTAGCGCCAATGTGGTTTCTAGTAAAGTCATTTTCACCTTTAAACTTCAGTTACTTTTTAAAGGGAAGGAAGAGAGAAAGGGGCTCCAAATAAGGGAATGCCAGCGCTGCTAATTCCAAGAGGCAGGTGGGCCTCTGAGCTCCGATAACCTCCTTCCTCCAGACAGTCTCGATGGGATTACGTCTGTTTTAACCATGCCGTTCTTCTGGGCTCCAAGGTGGAGCACCAGAAACATAAAGACTTGATCTTTTAGTCAACACATTTGAAATTAAACTCATAACCTTCTCACCGAACAGAGGTCGTTGTCATCTGTCCTCATTTCAGTCAAGGGCATCTCTGTCACTTCAAAATGTAAGGATCACCGTCGACACCCTCAAAGTCCTCACCCCCATGTCCAGTGCTTCCCCAGCTCTGTTCTCACCCCCATGACTATTCCTTCCAAGGCTAACCTGTCCCATCCTCCCTGCCAGCAGCCTGCTTCTGGCTTTCACTACATTGTCCCTGCATTATTCCGGGGATATTTCCTTTGGTTCTCCCTGCTTTCAGGATCTTTCTCCCCATGGGCAGCTGTCACACAGCCTGGCACTGAGCTCTTCCCATGAGTCCAACCATCCGCCTCCCTGTCCAGGGCTGAGGGGCTCTGGCTGGCCCCCTCCTCACTGGATGGATGTCTTTCCCGTCTCCCCTGCTCTTCACCTCCGCCTCCCGACTCCATCTCCAGAATGAAGGCCATTGCTCTGCCTGGAGCCTTCCTGATCCTCTTGGGGGGCCTGGAGCTGGTGCTCTTAGCTACTGGGCCCTGAGGTGCGGCCGTCACGCAGGAACCTGCTCACAGTGAGTGTACACTTCTGGGGCATAGGAAGCTTCTGGCGATGGTTGTCGGTGAATGACTGAACCAATGAGTCCTCGCCCCAGAGGAACTTAGGACCATCATTTTGCATTCAGAGCCTCCGTTTTTCTGTAAATGGTTAAAACCACCAAACTTCTTTGATTCCTGTTCTCTCAGGGACTCACTTAGCACGAGGGTGTGGCCTGTGGCTGTGAGGTCTGCTAGTGGGTCTGGAGGAGAGGAGGGTGGTTCATCAGTAGGAAGGAAGGACAAAACGACTCTTTCTTTATGGAACAATGTCTGCCCTTTGTCAGGGACCATGTATTAGATGGGATCAACTCTAAATAACCAAAATACAGAAAGAAAAAAAAGTGCGAGGCCCCTGAAGTAGGAAGAAATGTGTTGCAAAGGTGGCAAATGACTCAAAGCTGCCCGACGCTCTTGCAGAAAATCGAGATAAATTTCCCTGACGATGGAAACTAAAGGGATCGCGTGGCTCACTCTGAAGAGCCAGATAGTTTTAGGATCTCAGTTGTTAAACCAGTAAAATGGTATGGATTTATTGTGAACAAAAGTGTCTGCACGGCCCAGCCGGCGTGACTCAGTGATTGAGCGGCGCCCTATGAACCAGGAGGTCACGGTTTGATTCCAGGACAGGGCACATGCCCGGGTTGTGGGCTTAATCCCCAATAGGGGATGTGCGGGAGGCAGCCGATCAATGATTCTCTCATCATTGATGTTTCTCTCTCTCTCTCTACCTCTTCCTTCCTCTCTGAAGTCAATAAATATATATAAAAATTTTTTTTAAATGTCTGCATGATGCCTGGTGTGTTGGGGACATATAAACAGTCTATGTTCCACTTTTTTAGAGATTAACAGAGTTTCCACAATACGTGATGCTTAATTCCTTAGAGATCCAAAGATCCAGTGATGAGCACACTTGGATTTCATACCTGCAAACATTTTTTAAACAAAACAGTATGACACAGTGGGAAGAGCACTAGCTCCAAAAATAAACGAAAGAAGGAAAATTAAGATCTATTTCTGGAGGCGGGGGTGGGGGTGGAGGGGGGTGGGGGTGGGTGGGTAAATCAACCAAAGAATGTGTATGCATATATATGCATAACCCAGAGACACAGACAACAGAGTGTTGGAAGCCGGGGCAGCAGGTAGGGGCGGGCTAGACGGGGCCAATGGGAGAAAAAAGGAGACATATGTAATACTTTCAAAGTTAAATATTTTTAAAAATTAAAAAAATAATCAAGATCTATTTCTGGCCAATGCGAACAGAAACAAATCACTGCATTTTTGTCATGGTTGTTAATTCTCACCTGAGGATATTTTTCCACTGACTTTTTAGAGTGTAAGAGTCACTCACTGCCTTGCTGAGCATCCATCTTCTAAGTGAAAAATGTAATCCTTGGGCCAATCAGTGGTTGCAAACTCAGCAGAGCTCTCTGAGGTGCTGTGCAGAGGGGTGAGCATGAGGCCCCTCTCTGCAACGAGGGCTGAGGCTCTCGTCTCTCTCATATATCGGCCCCGCGGAGGATTTAAGTTGCTGCTTTAAAAAGCAGAGTCAGAGCACCAGCGATGTCCGAGATCTCCTCCAGGCGGGGCGACGTGAAGATTCTGAGACTCTGTGGGCATGAACTGTGTGGATGCCCTGCCTCTGTCACGAGAACATTTAGGTATCCTGTGAATCGCTTTTCCTTCATCTGCCCAAGAGGATGGCGGAACGAATCTAAACAATCGCTCTTTTCTTCGAGACAGGAAAGAAAGACGGTTATATACCTCGACGGCTATGCTTCCCACATGGGGGATCTCAGATTTGTTCTCAGCATGGAATCTATTCTAGCAAAGCAAAGATTTGTCAACAAATTTAAAAGGAAAACCAAGTGTCACCTTCCAGGGGTCTAAGAGCTTCCTGGTGTAAAGCAGCAGGACCTGCCTAACGGTAGATGTACTTTCATTTTAAAAGGTTGCCTGTAGTAGTCAGTGCTGCCCTCCACACAGTGACAGACTGTATGACACAAAGATCGTGATGCTGCAGACATTTCGGTATCAAAATGTCCTGGGCAGAAATAGAACAGTGGACTTTAAGGTGTGGCATAATTATCTTACTTTAAAAATCATCATTTTAAAATCTATTCCTTTTTATGTGCATGATACCCAGGGACAAATAAACCAAAAATTGAATTTTCTATTAAGAATGAAATGTTGGCCCAGCTGGTGTGTCTCAATGGTTGAGCACCGACTCATGAACCAGAAGGTCACGGTTCGATTTCCAGTGTGCGGCATGTAGGAGGCAGCCAGTCAATGATTCTCTCTCATCATTGATGCTTCTATCCCTCTCTCCCTCTCCCTGAAATCAATAAAAACATTTTTTTAAAAAAAGAATGAAACGTTGTACCATGCAATATTAATCAAAAAGAATTCGCTAGCTTGGGCCTCTTTTCCACCAAAATAAATGTAAGTATATTTTTAAACTTAGATAAATACCAATCTAGAAATGTTTTTGATGAGGAACAGCTCTCTCTGCGACCCTGGCATCTGTTTTGAGATCATAGGTGTGATTCCACGGTCTCACTGATGAGTGGTCTTCACTGAGGAGTGCCCTGGCCTACCTGGTGTCTCCGACCAGCCTTCCTGGGCTCCAGCCCATTCACACTTCCTCCCAGCGTGATCTTTCTATTACGTGGGTAAGTCATAGAGCCACTCCTCTACCTAAAATCCCACAGTGACTCCTCACAGTGGACAGAGTAAAATCCATAGTCCTAGGATGACTCTGAGATATCCTTCTGTTACTAGAGCCTCAACATTTCTTCAGCTTTACCTCTTGTGTATCCTGCAATGAAACCCAGTTTTGAATTATTTCAGTTCCCTAAACATGCCAGGCCGTCTCTATCCCCCATGCCCTCCTTCCTGCTGTTCACACAGCCTGGAACATACCTTCCCAAGAGGTCAGTTTGCCATGAACCAAGAGAAGCTTACATTTTGGGTCCCCTTACGTACATGCCCCAGCCACGCCTACCCTGAGGCCCTCTACCTAAGTTTGTAATTTGTTGTGTTTTTTTTTTAAAGGAAAGCCCTCTAATGGTATGTGTTTTAGGCCCCATAAACCTGGACCTGCCCTTGCTCTTACCCATCCCTCTTCCCTTTCCTAAGTGGACTCGTTTGGTTTACTGGGATTGATCTAAGTCAAGCTACCCGCTCCTCCCTACACACACACACACACACACACACACACACACACACACACACGTGCACACACACCTCCAGGACAGCATTGTGACAAAGACTCTGTGTTTGACCAAACTCTAGCCAGGCTCCTCTGAGCCCGCTTATCTACTGGATTTCAACTTTGGCCAATAAAAACTACAGACTCTCAACACAAAGGATTCCGTCCACCCCATCCCCCCACATTAAAAGGGTTAAATATTTAACATGGTTTCCAACAACTCAAGACCATATCTCTAGGCTGACCCCAGCCCCCTTAAACTGCCTGAGACAGCTCAGGCTGCCAAAAGAATTTCCTGTTTGTTCTAACCAATGTCTGACAATGGGCCCCTGACCATCCTTTCTTACAGCATTTACTCAAGAGTATTCACAGTAATGAATCCTTCCTCTGTCCATTTGAGCCATCTATCTATCTATCTATCTATCTATCTATCTATCTATCTATCCATCCATCCATCCATCCATCCCTCCATCCATCCTACAACTCAGGACCTGAAAGCCATTCCTTTAAACTGTCAGCAGGACAGATAGGGCCTCTGTCTCCCAGTCTCTGTGGGAGGACAGAATCCTAACTTCAAGGATTGCCAACTAGCAGACCCACTGGCCTACTCAGCATTTACACTGGCCAGCTCTGTAATTTCTCACTTCCCTGCCTCTACTGAGCCTGCACTCACACCCCACTCCTTCTCTGTCCTTGTAAAACACCCTGTCTTTCTCTATACAAATCAGTCTGAGTGCAGTTCACACTGGTCCCTCTTCCCATGGCAATAGTAGGTCACTGACTAACATCTGTCCTTACCAATTCAGTGTCCAGCTTTGTTCATCTTTGACAACTGAGCTCTTTGGACTGTTGCATCTGCCTGCTTGTCTTTCACTGATCTCTCTGAGGGCAGGGACTGTGTCTTTAACTTCTGATCCTTTCCCTCAGGGCCTGGGCATGCAGCAAAAATCAGTAAATGTTTGATGAATTTGTGAATCAGAGGAGACCCAGGAACGCGGCCCGTGCAAATAACCACAGTGAAGCAACAGAGCTCTGAGGACAAAGGAGGAGGCTCCTGGGAAAACTTGGGGTTTCAAGGTTGGAAAAAAAAACTTAAATTATTGTTTCTATAAGTTTATAATTATACATTAAGTCCTTTGTGGAAACGAGTAACTGGCAGGTCTACCCAACAAGTTAATTCTATGGTGGGAGCCTAAATATACAAATGAACAAGGGCCA